GATTTAGCGACCGACAATTTCAGAGATGCACACTAGCAACAAGCTGCGAGTATTCAGAAAAGTTCTTCTGCACAAAGCTGGGGAAATAGCCTCAATACAGTGAAGTCAGAAGAGCAAATAACTGGGGAAAACCAGTGTTGGGATGTTGATCTTACGGACACTTAAACATGTTCTCACCTTGAGGTCAACAGGACAGAAGAGTTAAGCCCAGGCTTATGAGTTTACCAGGTTTTACACTTTTAGCACTTTTTAAAAAAAAATTTATATAAGATTTACAATTACATGAATAGGTCAATTTAGCGATTGTAGAAATTGTGGTAATGGCCAGGTAGGGGCCCACGAGAACGGCTCATGGCAGAAGTTAATTGTTCCCCTGCAACAGTGGGCAAGAAGGTGCTTATAGAGTGTCGTGGTTTAACCCCAACCAGCAACCAAGCACCATGCAGCCGCTTGCTCACTCCCCACGGTAGGACGGGGGAGAGAATCAGAAGAGTAAAAGTGAGGAAACTCATGGTTCGAGATGAAGACAGTTTAATAAGTAAAGCAAAAGCCACACACGCAAGCAAAGCAAAACAAGGAATTCATTCACTGCTTCCCATCAGCAGGCAGGTTTTCAGCCATCTCGAGGAAAGCAGGGCTCCATCATGCGTAATGGTTTCTTGGGAAGACAGATGCCATAACTCCGAACGTCCCTTCTCCCTTTTTCTTTGTCCCAGCTTTATATACTGAGCATGACGTCGTATGGTAGGGAATATCTCTTTGGCCAGCCTGGGTCAGCTGTCCCAGCTGTGTCCCCTCCCAGCTCCCCGTGCACCCCCAGCCCTCTCGCTGGCAGGCCAGCATGAGAAGTTGGACTGTCCTTGACTGCTTAGCAACAACTGAAAACATCAGCACCTTATCAACATTTTCTCATCCCAAATCCAAAACACAGCCTCACACTAGCTTCTGTGAAGAAAATTAACTCTATCCTGGCTGAAACCAGGACATGGAGTCAGAGCGATCATTCACTCCACTGTAACCGCTGAAAGGAAACATTGAACAACATTTTCAGTAAGGTTGTCAGAGACTTGGCGGGGAAAAAACAAAAGACGGAAATAGACACTGAAGGCTTAAACTTGCCTTGAAGATCATGTGCCTAACAAGACAGGCCTTTTTTTCAGCCTCCCTGTACTCTGGGGCTCTGGGACCCTGCGCTTGTGAATACATAGATGAAAAGCGCTGCAGATGTTGGGTGCCAGATGGAGACGACTCCCAGAATCCCATTCCCTCCTCCAGCAGGCTGGCACAGACTGAAGGAGGAGGACAGAAAGGCAGGTAGCGGGAGCAACACGACGTTGGGCCAGCCTGGTGGCACCACACTGGCCCCAGCACCGCGGGGCTGGGACCAACGGCCAAGATCTCCCTGTGCCCACACCGACGGCAGGACCCTGCCCCAGGACGGGCCACACACCCCCAACTGCCATTCC